AATATTATTTTAAGGGTTATTATAAATTATTGCAGGTGTTTTTAATATTATTTTATCATTATATTTTCATTCTGTAATAGCGCAAGCTGGAACTCTTGGTCCTTAGTAATGAACTTTTGGTTTGATGCTTAGTGCAAGCTGGGACTCTTGGTCTAACAAGGATGAGCTCTTTTGTTCAAATTCTTGCAAATGATTATATGATTTTCAATTTCTGTGTTCTATATCCAGCAAACCTATTTTTGCAATTTCTGCAGAAAATCATTGAAAATATGACTCGTTTGGTCAATAGTGATGAAGAAGATCAACTACAAGATCTACATGATGCCTGTAATTTGACTCCACCACCATCATGAAGATGAGAAATAGTAAAAATGCCAACATGCTTAAATACTTCACAAAAGCTAAAGAGAGTTAAAGAGATTTCACGTGATATGTCTATTATATTTTTCCATTCTGTGTGAAAAGGAATAAGTCTATATTTTGTAAATTACATTAGATCTTCTTGGATCATCGACACAACTCAAAGTGCTAACAAGTAAAATACAAAAGGAATCAACTGACAATGATGTTCAGGATGATTAAAATTTTGTAGTTAAATAGCAGATTAGAGTAGATAATGAAAAATGTTTAAAACAATAACTACGCTTGACAAATCTTCGAATTAAATATTTTTTACAGAAATGTCGTGATACATTTTTGACTTTTACACACTCCCCTGCCAAAAGTATTGGACCACCTGAAAATTTTTAAAAAAATTACTAAAATTAAAATACTAATTGTAACATAATGAGTGATCTAAATTGCACAAACTTTTTTTGTTAGATTTCCCTAAACTAGAGCTATCATATGATATATTTTGTGATAAAATTGAACATCTATATACAGAGAAATTATACTTCAAATAAAATTGACAAAAAATAATAAATTTAATCTTTGATCGTTACCCATACCGGATTTGATAAATATTAAAGATAAATGCCAACTATCTTAGATAAAATTGTATCCAGAAACAATATCTACAACGTTTAGTATTTGCAATTTTCATGGTATCTAGTAAAATTTTTGACATCAATTAGATGTGAATAAAAACAACTGAAATTTAATAAAATTTTAAAAAATAAAAAAAATTTGAAAATAATTATGATGATCATTTATACATGAAAATCTTGAATATTTATTAACTTAACAATAAATATGGCATTAAGTCACCTCGAAGTCTGAAATATGGAGTATTTTTATAAAAATCTCAGCCTTATATATTGAGAATTGAAAGAATAATACATGATTAAACTTTAGTATATAATTTTAAAACATCCAATATTTAACTGTTAATATTAAACTCAATTCTCAATTTAAAAATCTGAAATGTTTACAGTAAATGCTAAGAACATTGATAGCAGTTCAGTATCAGTAGAATCTATTAAGAGGAAATATAATAAAATTGAACTAATAGAAAAAAGTACAATGCATAAATTTAGAATGTGGATAAACTTAGGATGCAAATATGATATTAATTATAATTATAGATATAATTATTATATCTGACGGGGTTTTGGCCATCAGTTCCTGAGGTTATACTTAGACAATGATGAGTTGGATGTAAAATTTTATTTTTAGTCAGTTTCAATAAATGTAAAATATCTTTAAAATTTACACTTAATCTATTAATAAAGTTTATTGGATCAAGACTCTGTTGGATATATAAATATATATATATATATATATATTATCTATTAAAAAAAACCTTGGTCCTTCAAATTTGGGTTCACAGTTTCATGACTAAATTTGTTTCTTTTTTTATTAAGTATTAATTTATTTTTATGTTTTTATTTTATGTGCAATTCATTTTATAATTTGAACAAATTTTTTATTATTATATTATTAATAAAGTTATTTACATTTATTGTATAATTTTTTTCTGTTATTAGAATAGAGTATCAAAAAATAAATAAAAATAAAAATAAATAAATAATAAATAAAAATAAGATAAATAAAATAATATAAAATAATAAAGAAAATAACAAATAAATTGCTTCCTTTTCTTTGCCCTTTGAGCAAGTAACATTATGTTTGTCATAAATCCAAAATATTAAAAGAATGATTTTTTCTTAAATAGGGTATGTTCAGTATTTATAACGTGTTTCTTTAAAATAAGGAAAACTCAGTAATACGCCTTAAAAAAACCACGGATTGAAATTGAGATCAAGTAATTGTGAATTAAAAACCTCTAAAAACAAGGAATTATTAAAATAAATAACAGTGACGCCAACTTTTACTTCTGGTAAGTCAGCAATGATCATCTTGTTTTTTTTTTAATGACAAAAGAACTCGTGGTATAAAAATAAACTTCTGAATATTAAAACATACATCTGTAATCCAGTAAACGGTGAATATTAAATATTACATTCAAAGACCTATAATCCTATAAAGTTTTAATAAATCTTTTCATTATTATCATTTATATTAGAGAAAATTAAAAAGAAAAAGTATCATTATTATCATGGTTTAAATATTTTAAGGTTTGAGTCATAATAAAGGTTTTTTATTTATCTGAATTTTTTATCTTAAGATTAATTATATAGAATCAAAGCGCAAGAAACAATAATGGCGAAGCAAAAATCATAGATCACTTTCCAAAAAAAACAATCCAATGCATACTCTTTTATGAATTTAAAACCGTGTAGATTAGAGAATTGACCTTTTCCTAGCCTGGCTTAGAGATAGGAACGATCTATCGGATTTTAAGTTATATTATCCATTAGAATATAAGGTATTTAATATTAAAACTTAGTTATTTTCATAAAAGAAAAATATTTTTTAAAAAATACTTCATTAGAACTTGAGTTTTCAAGTGGAGTTCCCACTTTCTTGTTCAGATCTATTTTTTCCTGTTTAGTTAACTCTTTTTTAGGCTTTGATACAGGAAATTAAATAAGATCGGCTAGAATCTTCTGAGTAAAATGTAAAAGTTGAAATCGACAACGAGGACAGAAAGGGAAATTATAAAATAGTTGACTATTTCTTTTATTATACTTTATGTTGAAACTATAATATTATTTATTGTCAATTCTATTTAATCATAACTAATAACTTTATATACTTTAATAAACCCTCTTATAGTTATTACTATTGAAATAAAAAAAATAAAGTTAAATGAAATTCTCGATGCTTTTAACTATTATTAATTGTTAATAAATATAGAACAATAAAAGTCTTAATTCTCACTTTCCATTGCCACTTTAAATAAAAAAAATATCCCTCAATTAATCCAACAATCTAGGTTTTTGGCTCTAATATATAGCTAACTATCATGGAAAATAGTATGCAGCAAGCTATACATTAGAAGTAGGTCAGAGAATTGTTCTTATCAAGAAACCATAATTCCATAATCCTCTAAAAAAAAAAAAAGCAAACTTATTTTGTCATTAATAAACAGGCGAACCCATTTTCTAATGATAGAATAAATTCAACAATTTCTTAACAAGAGATAGTAAAACCATTTCTTAATAACAAAAATCAATAATTCCTTGAATCTTCTTAATAAGAAGAGAACTATAAAATTCTTAACAAGGAAAAAACAATTAAGTTCTGAACAGTGAGGAAAAAATTTGAGGTGGGGAAAGGAGATAATTAATGGTTTTTTTGAAGGTTATGGGAATGGGATCAGTCACACATGTCGATCGATCCTAATTAAACCGATATGATGATAAATAATTTAATTAATTATTACGTAATAATAAACATTTAATTAATAATATAATTAACTTACTCATAACTATTCACAAATTACATATATGAAGAAGGAAATTTCTTTTAGAAGATTCATAAACATATGAAAAGGAACCCTAAAATACAGCACAAACACATCTCGTAAAAAACTAGTCACAAAAAACCTATTATTATTAAAGTAAAATATAAAAATTTAATTTTTGTAATAATATGTACGTCTTCTCCCAAATATTAAAAGGTTGCATTCTTTCTTTCCGAAAAGGAAATAAGTAATAATTATTTTATTAATTCTTCAATTTATACAAAAGACTATTTTTGTTTGATCAAGTGCATTACCTAAAAACCCGCATTCTACAGAATAACAGAAATATTATTATTATTAAATAATTTACCGATTTTAATAGCTCCCAGAACCTTTATCCCGTTATAATGATTTAACATCATATCGAAATTTAACCAGTATAATATCAGCTATTAACCCAAGATAACAGTTGACCAAAGAGATATTACTGCAAGTAATAATAAATAGTTTTAGAAATAATGAAAACAAAAAAAATGTTAATACCGAAGATGAAAGTGGAAGTATAGCTGTATAAGTTCTATCGACATCTGGTTTTATAATACAAAGTGTAGCGTTATCTGTTACTAGTAAAGATTGATGTAATAATGTTAATAAAAAAATAATTTCAATTTTTTTTATATAAAGCAAAAAAATTGTTAAATAGTGAACTTGATCTTAACTTGTTTAACTAGAAAATTCCTAAATTTCAGTCATATGAATATAAAATAACAACCCCGATTGATAAAATATAATTACATAAATATTACCTCCAAAACCCAAGGAAATTACCTTTTACGTCATTTATAAAAACCTTATTCTACTACCCAGGATGTATTTGTAATAGTTATTTCCCCGAGATTATGATGATCATGGTTGTTGGTGATAATGTTAATTCACGAAAACTTCTTCTAAATTCTTCCAGATATGATACAACTTCCAAGGCATGCCATGTTCGTACAAAACGACCACTCGATTTTTACCTTAGATTATGGAAATATATTATATATAATCTTCCATAATTCTATCAAAATATAAATTAAATAATTAATTGGCATAAATATCAAGTGAGTAGTGTAATAAATCATATATGTATATATCTATCTATTTAAATTGAAATTTAACTTACCAATAAATACCTTTTTTAAATTGAAAGGCTTGTCCATAAGCCATTTCAGATGCACTTGACATTGATGGTTTGTATTTGGTATTCTTGTATCTTGTTTTTCGATTTTGATGCAAAAGTCGAGGAGAGAATAGTTGTTGACGGAAGGCTAGGTTACATAAAGAAAGAAAGGATAATAGAGAGAAATAAGAGAAAAGAATTTAAGAGATATATATAAAGTGTAAATGTATGAACAAAAAGTTTTAATTATGAATTACTAATAAAATTTATATATACTCTTTGTAGACTTGACGAGTCTTTTCCAAGCCCCTACGTGTGTGCCCAATTTATATAGTTGGATCAATTAAACCTTTAATATTCGCCGTCTCTTCATTCAACTGCATGAAGGCAATCAGCATTCTACTAATAAATAAATAAACATTTGAGAAATTATTTTTTTAAAAAAAAATTCAAATATGATCAAATGATTGATTAGATAAAACCATTTTTAAATTCGTTAATCTCCCAAATGTGTAAAACATGCACAAATATATATCTATATATTATTACCTTTATTGAATTTGGGAACACAATCTTCCCTAATGATTCCTTGCATCAAATTATCTCGTTCCATCATCATCATCATCATCACCATCATCATCATAATCATCATCATCATTATCACAATCATGATTATTATTACTTTTTTCATCAATAATTATTCGAATTATTTTATTATCTTGTTAAGAATAATTATTATTCTCTTCAATCAAATCTTTTATACTATTAGGTTCCGTCTCGATCTCTTCTTTCTCTTCTTTTAATTGCACAACGAACTTAAAATATGATAGAAGTAATTTAAATCATTCCTTCCAAAGTTCCACTGAGGTAGGAAACCTCGTTGCATCAATGATAATTATATATTTTATCATTATTATTATATTATTTTTATTATTATTATTATTTTTAAAATAAATATCCAAAAAATCAATAATCTATCGTTGACACAATATTTCATTCGAGAGCATAAAACGTTGGAGTCGATTTCCTTCTCCTTCCTTTTTCCAACCTTTTATTTCTTTGCTCTTTTCTTGTCTATTCGCTTCGCTTCATATTTTCTACCCTTAAGAATGGTGATTTCAGCGATTTCGGCATTGGCGATGGACAATTCTGACGATTTCCTTCTCCTTCCCTTTTCAAACCTTTTCCTTTGTTCCTTACTTTTTTTGCTCTCTCCACTCCCTTCTCGCTTCTCACTTTCCTCTTTTTATTTTTTGCTTTAATCTTTTTGATTTTCATTCCATTTGCCTACATTTTATACAGAAGCGGTCATGTAATCTATCACATGTATTTGGTCTATCAAAAAGAATACCTTTGCATTTAAGATATATTAGATAATCTAAAGGTTATCATGTTGATCTGAAAGATTTTAAATAATAGATTTTTCGGATTAAGTCCGAAGAAATCACCTTTTATATCACTTATAAAAATAGTATTATGAAAGCATGATAACTTAATAGTTTTAAATAGAATTATATTTAATCATTTATATCTAAGCAGAAACGTAAATCCCGATATATTTATTTATTATTTTTTCAAAAAAAAATAACTTCTACCTTACGTACTATAAGTGAACTATGCATGCCGAGAATGCAATTAAGAAACCTGAAGATACTCTAATGGTTGTTGTAAACTGTAATAACTCAACACGTTTCAAAGAAGATTTTGATAAATGGACAAGCGGAAATGATACAATAAATAAATTTATTCAAGATACTCAACTAAATGCCGATTGGAATAAATTAATAGAATGGACACCATATGATAGATTTCAAAATATTATACAATAGCAAAAGATGATGATTATGGTACAATTCATTATGTTAAGTCGGTTGATGGATATATTTGTAATTGGGATGTTGAAGATCAACGATAGGAAAGAAGAGGTCAATGTGAAATGATATTAAAAAAGTTTGATGGTATTGTATATATAAATGAAGATTTTTGAATGAGATAAAATCGCAAAATGTTAGTAAGTAAAAAAAGTTTAATTATTAATTTTTTAACAATTTTTAAACTTTGAACAATTGTTTACAATCAAATATAAAAATTTTTAACAAAAATAAATAATTACTCGATTCTCACTCTTTTTCATGTGTAAAAAAATAAAAAATAAAAAATAAAATATTTTACTTTTTTTTCGATCTACCTAATTTTACTAAAAACAATCATAAACTTTAATTATTTGATAATTATTACTGATATATTCTTTTTTCCATGTTTACAAATTAAATATAAATATTTTTTTTAACAGAATAATAATTACTCCTCGATTATCAATGTTTGCTCACGCTCCCGGTTCAACAACATTTAATTTTATGTTGGCTTGTAAAATATTTATAGCAGACTATTAATCAAGTAATGTTTATGTACAACCACAACATTGTTAAATCAAACCAGTGAAAACCATAACCTATCACGCAGGTGTTAAGGTTAGGTGGATTTTCAAGGGTGTATTTATCACCAATAATTTCGATTAACACCACTGGTGTGATTTTAAAACGTGAATTTACATCAGTTAAAATTTGACAGAATTATTATTATTATTATTATTATTATTATTATTATTATTATGCTTTTTTTTTTTAATATCGGCGTGTTTCACCGTTTCACTATTAACAATTAAAAATTTCAACTGTAATTATTATGATTAATAATAGTTATTATTCATCGTTTCATAAATCGCAGCGCTTACAAGATTAAGCATACTAGCGCTATTAGTAGATGGTCCGGGAATACCATCATGTGATGAACCGAAAGGCATAAAGATGACTTTGGCGCCAGGAGATTTTGAAATTGTATCCATTGTTTCAAGGTATCGCATTTGCTATTATAAAATAGAGAAATTTATTTATTTAAAAGGAAATAATTAAATATTGTAAAATAATATTATATTATATATCTATTTTTATAAATACCATTGCAGTCGGTGAATTAAGAAGTTCGGCAGCTTGTTTCATGAATTTTGCAGAATCAACTAAAAAAAAAAATAACGAATTAATTTACTTAATTCATTTATATTTAACTTATTTAATTTATTTAATTTATTTAATTTAATTTAATTTAATTCATTAATTACCTTCAGCCTGAGCAGCTATAACTTTACTCTCACCAATTCTCTTTTGCATAGCCGCCGAAGAAAAGGAAGATTGTAAGCCCGGTGTGAATTGAATATCCTTGATTAAAACACTTTCAATCTTTTCACAATAAATAATTAATAAATAATAACTTAATTAATTAATAAATACTAAAATATTTAAATGAATATAATGTTAAAAATTTATTTATACTTTAATACCCCAAGAGTAAGCAGTCTCATCGATAATTTCTTTAATTTCAAAAGCAATTGCTTCACGATTATCAATACAATCTTGAAGAATGCGTTTACCGAAAATGTGGCGTAGAGAAGTTTGGGTGCTAATCAATTAATTATTAATTAATTGTCATTTATGGTGTTTAATTTTAAGAAAAACACTTACCGATCATAAAGGGCTTTTTGAACATTAGTAATACCAAAGGTAGCTTGATAGGGATTAATCACCTGCCAGAATATAACTGTTTCAATGTAGACATCTACATAATCCTAATAATAATATAATAAATCAATTAAATGAATTGGAATTACTATATATATTCAGTTCCTAAAAGTTCTCTAATAATAAATACCTTTGTCATAATTGTTTGTGTCTGAATATTCATGACTTGGATCTATCGATTTTATTAGATTATTTTATTTAATTATTTTATCGAATGATTTTTAAATTATTTTATTAAATCATTTTATAAATTAACAAAATACCATGACATCAACTTTCTCGAGTTTTTCCGTAAAGACATTTACTTTGACCAACCCCGGATCAACAGATTTGTAAAATTGCCCTATGTACGTACACATATTTATATATGTTGTAAAAAATTTCGAATTTATAAAAGGAAAAACATTCACATACCAAATCGTGAAATCAATCCTACGTAACCTTGATCAACACTTTTGTAAGGATTAGGGAAACAACAACATGATGGAATCTAAAATTTCCATTTAATAATAATTATCAAATTAATTAAATTAAGTTTTTTTTTTCAAATATTTATGTATAAGAATTAATTTATTTTTTTTACCGATCCCAATGTTCCGCATAACACTCCAAAAAAATTCATCATACCACTGTAAAATCCGTGAGGACTATTTCCGAGGGGATATGTCTTAGCATGATTAGATTGCATTTGTTGTATATCTAAAGGCTATAAAAGAAATGTAATTTGGGTTAACGCGTTACCGCAATAAAATCGGTTACACAAAATATAATAATTAATTACATTCGTTAAAAATATACCTGAATAGTTTTAATTCCCCCACTACCATTAATTTCATTAACTTGAGTACCTGCCGAAAATGATACTTTCTTTCCTGAAGACATTATTATTGATTTTTCAATTTAATTCGTTAATTTTTGTAAGGAAAGGAGAAAAAAATTTTGGGAAACAAAAATTTAAATTTAATATTTGTACTGGTCATCCGATACACATTATAATGATTAGATACGATTTCATAAAAAACGGACGAGGTTAACCAAAATAAGCGAAACAAAGTTATGTTAAAGGCATTATAAATAAATGTTAGTATAAATTAGTAAAAATTAAAAATTGACGGATCAACCAAACTTTGATGCATTCTTTTAATTTAATTGTTAAAGGGCGTTATAAATAATTTAATTTTTACGTTAATATAAATTAGTAAAAATTAAAAATGCATTCTTTTAATTTAATTGTTAAAGGGCGTTTATCAGACCGAACTTGGGTAGTTTTTTCCCCTCGAATAGTCAAATTGTGATGAATTCAAAGCAAATTATCTTTTATTTTTAACTATGTTTTTTGGTGCTAGTCATATTGTGGCGAAGTAAATTGGTAATCATACGGATTATCACGGGGGATGATAAATGGTGATACAAAGATGATTGTACTGTGGTGGCACGAAAATGTCTGCGGCTATTGAGGGTGGCGAGCAGAGGTGGCAGTAGTACTAAGATAGGGCGTGTACTACCATTTAGGTGAAGTACAGAGGTGGCTATTTATTCACCCTCGTGTAACACCTCCAAAAGAAAATATGTTATGGGTGACAACTGAGGATAAAGATTAATAAAAAGAAAGATATATTGAGGATGTACAAATTCCATATAGAATGTGCACAGGATTTCAAAATGGTGCGAGTGTCACAGGAGATGACAGTAAGATGACAGTGTAACAGGATGAGTGTGTTACCATCTAGATGACAGATTCCTTATCCTTGTACATTGTCCTTCATCCTTGTATGTTATCTTTAAAAATAGAAAAGGATGTGTTTAGACATTGTTGACTATGATCCGACCTTCAAGAGATACGATTAACTATTAGCTAAAGGCACATTAGCTAAACTAAAATATAATAAACTACTAACTAATTTATATCAAGAAGTATGATATTTGAAAGATTTAGATGTAGTAGATTTGTTTAAAAGAGACAAGGTTATGAGATTCTTATAAGGGTTTAACTAAACTATTTATAAAGAATATAACTAGACTAAACTAAACTGATAATTCCTAACACTAAGTAGAGAATTATAACACAAAAACAATATACCAAGATCACAAAGCAAGGTATAATTCAACAAGGGTTTCAGTATTCCACCTAGGAATAATACAGAATTTACTAAGAAATTTCAACAGTATAAATAATAATTTATAAAAGTATTATTTATATGGCAAATCACAAAGTAACTACTGAACTTGAATAGAACTGATAACTGAGCAAAGAAAAATTTAGCCCTTTATATACATAATTGAAGTTATAATAGATTACGCTGTAGACTACACTAATGCATATACTATTAATTATACTGATATATACACTATTAACTATATTTTCTCTACGCTATCTATTACACTATTCATTACACTATTGATTATGCTATACGTTACACTGTTAATTATACTCAGATCTACAGTTGTAATATCTAATAATTGTACCAATTTCTAAATGATTTATACTAATAGTTTCCTATATAATATATACTAATAAAAATATAAAATTAAACTAATAAAATATAGTTATAAATAAGTCAATACATAATAAAAAATAATAATATAATAAATGAATAAGATGTAAATATAGTAATAATAAAATTTGATAACTAGAGTCAACAATTTCCCTTGACTTAGTTATAAAGTTCCACTTATAACTTCATTAAAATTAAAAATGAAATTATTAAGATCCTGATGATAATTCACTAATAACCTATAATCAATGGACTTCATATTCAAAAGTACACGATACAATAGATAAGTTGTTTGATAGATTTGTTCGATATTGGACTTAAAAAGCTTATACACTTGAATTATTCCAAGATAATAGTAGTATTCATATCAAATTTATTTTATTTGTACAAACTCTAATCACTTTTCTCTAGGCATAATAGAAAGATAAATCAATTCTCCTAAGTAATATGTGTAAACTATTGTCATTATCCTTTGACAATGTTGAATTTTATCTTTAAATTTTGAATATATATTTTGTATAGATATTTTCTAATTATCTATAATATTATAAGGAACTGGTATTTGATGAATAGTATAATTTCCAATAGCTAATACATCCTGTTTACACTTTTCGAGATCTATATATACCATGGATATACCTGCCACCCAAATTCAAAATCCAAATGCCGAAATCCCAAATGCTGAAATCTCAAATCCCAAATTCCAAATTATGATTAGTATTTTTTGCCAAAATCCCAAATCCCAAATCCCAAATACTAGTAATTTGGAATTTTGGCATCCCAAATCCCAAATAATTTGGGATTTGGGCAACACGTATAACCATGGAAATTAATTTATTTAAAGGGAATTTTCATTGAATAGTAGTTATATATATAACTAATTGAGGCTACGCCAATAAGACTTTTAACTTTAATTCTTATAATATTTTTATATAATAGTGATTTGTGATATCCAACTGGTCCTTTCATAGTATAGTTTAAGTAATGAGCCATTGATCGGTACACGTAGTACTTTTCCATCTAGAGTTCTAAATTTGTATACTCCTAAATATAAAAGGTCATGAATATAGTATGGTCCTTTCCATTTTGAGTCAAGCTTTCCAGTATGGCTTGTGTGTTTTGTAACTTCATATAGTAAAATCTTATTTCCTATTTCATATATAACAGATTTAATAATTCGTCAATTATGATATTCCTTTTGTTTCAATTGTTGCCTTTTAATTTGTAATTGAGTTTGACCTCAGATAACAAGTAACTTATCAACAAGAGTAAAAAATGAGTTAACAAGTTTGTTTTAGCAATTTCCAATCCTTTATATAATAAAAACTTAGCGGATTATTCATATACAAGAAAAATGATTCAATTTTTGTTGTTAATTGATGAGTAATTCTGTATGCAAAAAGAATTGAAGGTATATTTTTATTTCAATCGGTTGTAACTTTCAATGTTTTTATCAAAGAATTATCTAATATTCGATTAAACTTTTTAGTTAGATTATTTGTTTTTGGATGATAGGGTGTAGAATGTATATGTTTGATTTCAAATTGGGCTAAAAGATCATCAATCATTTGATTGCGAAAATGAAGTCTTCTATTAGATAAAATAACTTTTGGACATCCATGTTCGACAAATAATTTTATCATATATAAAAGTAACAGCTTGTAGAGCAGTTGTGTCAGGAACAGCTTGAACTTCAGACCATTTTGTTAAATAATCAGTAGTAACGATAATATATTTATTTTCTTGAGACGTATAAGGTAAATGTCTAACAAAATTGATTTCAACTTTTTAAAGGGGTCTTCTATAGGGATAGGCTGTAGAGGTTGAGGATTTCATTTTCGTTCTCGTTCTCGTCATTGATACACATCATATGCTTGGATACAGTTCTTTATATCATCATATATTTGTAGTCAATAATATAAGTTATGAATTTTATTAAAAACTATTTTAGCTCCTAAATGTTCTCCCAAGGGGTGATTATATAACATTAATAAAACAGGTTCAACTTCATGTTCTTATAATACTCAAATTAATTTTCTACGAGTCTTTTTTCATCTGTTAATTTTGTACAATAAATTGTTTTCAATTTTATAAAATTTACTTTTAGATTTTATTCAATTTAGATCCTTAATTTCACTTGATAGAGTTTGGTTTGTTAAATATTGTTTGAGTTGTTGATATTCAATAAGATCCATTTTGTCAAGACACCAACAACCTGAACTGAATTGTATTTACCATTAGATTAAGTACTTTATTACTTTTACTTTGTAAAAATAATTATTATTATTGATAATATAGGTATAGTTTATTGTGGAATACAAGAGAGAGAATTAGCATTGTTGTGTTTTCATCTGGTATGGTAAATAATAGTATAATTATAAGGTTCAAGTCTCAAAATCCATTTCACTCGTCGTTCCGTTAATTCCATCAAATGTAACCATTTGAATGTAGAGTGATCAGTTACTATATAGAAATGATCAGTATCAAAGTAATATCAAAAGTGCTCAATAGCCTATACCATAACTAGATATTTTAAGTCAGTAGTAAAATAATTTGGTTTAGCTTTATTTAAACTACAACTTGCATAAGCAATAGCATATTCCCATTTATTTGTCTCATCCTTTTGTGCAAGGACAGCTCCTAATTCAAATGATGATGCATCAGTATGTAAATAAAATAGTTTTTTGAAATTTGGGTGTTGTAGAATTGGTGTAGTAATTAAATACTATTTCAATAGATCAAATGACTTTTGTTATTTAGCAGATCAAATAAAAAGTTCATCTTTCTGAAGTAATTGATTTAGAGGTTTAACAATATCAGAGAATTGATTAATAAATTTTCAGTAATAAAAAACAAGGTCAATAAATCCTCTTAGTGTATGGAGATTGGTAGGAATAGGAAAGTTTTTCACTTTGTCAATTTTTTCATCATCAGGTTGGATTCCTTTTCAAGTAATTTCATGTTTCAAAAATTTGATTAAGTGCAAGAAGAAGTGACACTTGTCCTTATTCAGTTTTAATTTCACTTTTTGTAAAACTTTAAATACTGTTTTTAAATGTGCAACATGATCATTGAAAGTTTGAGAGTAAATGGTAATGTCATCAAGATAAACAATTAAAAATTTATCAATGTATCATGTCAATACTTTATCTATCAACCTTTAAAAGGTTGCAGAAGTATTGCAGAGCCCAAAAGGCATAACATTAAATTCGCATAACCCATGTTTAGTAATAAAGACAGTTTTCTTTTTATTATCTTCCTTAACTACAACTTGCCAGTATTCAGAAGTCAAGTCAAAAGTGAAAAACCATTTAACACCTTTAAATTTTTCAAGGATATCATCAATAATAGGAAGTGGATATATGTCTTTTTCAATGAACTTATTAA